GCGGGAGCACCCCAATTTTGTGTGTGTCCCCCCCTTCTCCGGCTGGTTGGGGGTCCGGGCTGAGGTGGCAAGTGGGTCTTCTTTCCCCCCCACTATGGTTTTTGGAAGAAGGGGCCTGGGAGGCAGGAGCCGTCAGCTTCTCCATCACCCACTTTTTTGGCCAAAGTCAACCAAATTTCCCCAAGTTTGTGGGCTCGGGGCGCGAAGGTCCCGGCCGAGTCCCACAGAAGCGGGTGGTGGAGCAGGGACGTGTCCTCACGGGTCGGTGCCACCTGGCTTTGGCCAGCTGAGGGTGGCTAGTGATGGGTCCCACGTGGCTTCCCAAGCTTTTCCCCCCCCCAGGGGACACCGTCCCCAGGGACCACTGGCGTCCTCGGGGCCGGGAGTTCGGGCAGCTGAGGTCCCTCCTGTGTTGGTTTTCAGAAGAGGAGCTGGTGGGAGGAGAGGAAGAGGAGATGCCGACCTTCAGCTACCGACCGACGAGCGGTAAGGCCATCCCCGCGGGGTGGGCAGGGGCTGCAGGGGGGCCTGATCCTTCCCTCTCTGCGCTCAGGCAGGGCACGCACCAACTGCAGCCGGTGCCAGAAGAACCTCTCCCTCCAGACGGCCGTCAAAGTCCTCTACATCTTCTCCATCCTCCTCATCGTGGTCGTGACCGTGCTGGCTGCCCTGGGTGAGCACGGGCAGGGTTGGGAGGTCCGACTTCTGCCTTCCCTCCTGCCGTCCTCGGGGATATTGGGGTTCCCCCAAAGCAACTCCAGCTCCCGGGCATGGAGAGGAGCACCCAGCTCCCCCTGACCTGCCCCTGGGATGCACGTGGGACACTGAGTGATGCCACCTCGCCAGGTGATGGCTTTACCTCCATGGGGACCTCAGGAACCATCCCGGAGCCCAGAGGTTGTCACCCCATCACCTCCACGGGCAAGGAACAGCCTCCCAGGTTCAGTAGAGGGGCAGTGAGCTCCCCAGGCCTGGACCCCCAGAGATGCTTTGTAGACCTTAGCCAAGCCCCGAACCCAAAAGCCCCTTGGGACACCTACCCCACGGAGCCAGCACCCACCAGCCACCCAACCTGACACTTCAAGCCCCGGGCACCCTCCTCACCAGGGAAGGAGCCCAGAGGAAAGGTATGGAGGACCATCACGTCCCGGCGCCCACCCGCTTCCCCTCACCCCCCACCTTTCCTCCGCAGTGTTCAAGAAAGTCGACTCCATCTCCAACGACATCAGCTCAGCCCAGACCTATTACGAGAAGAAGATCGTCTCCATCCAGGAGGACCTCCAGGGGTTGGGTGAGTGGCTTGCACCCGGACCTGGAGGTCTTCTCCGGGTTCCAGCACCACGCGTCCCTCCAGCTTGAGGGGACCTCAGCTGCTCGGTGCTGCTGGCCGGGGGCTGAAGCACCTCCATTTTTCAGGTCCTGGGGCTCCCTCAGAGCCAAACCCCCACTTCTCTCCCAGGATTTTGGGAAGGGACCACTGCACGACCCCGAGGGTGGGGTTGGTGGGGTTGGGTTTCTTGGGGACCTTGCTGCACAGAGGTGGATGAGGGTGGGAGCTGGTACGGGCTGGTGGCATCAGGGTTGTCCCAGGGTGGCTCTGTGGTGCCCATCTCCAGGGTCTGCAAGGACAAACCATGGTGAGGCTTCATCCTCCGCTCCGGTCCTCAGCAGGGGGGTCTCCAGGCCCAGTGAGGGACGGGGTGGGGTGACAGACCCCTCTGCCCTTTGTTCAGATGAGAAGACCTCGGGGAACTGTTCCCTCTGCCATGAGACGGGCCAGCTGGGCCGGGAGATCACCAAGCTGCAGGGTGAGCTGGAGGAGATCCAGAAGATGCTTTTGGTTCAAGAAATCCTGCTGGATCGGACCTCCCAGACCCACGACCTCCTCTCCTCCACCAGCAACAAGATCACCAGCGAGGTGGACAACTGCTCCTTCTCCATCCGGCAGGTCAACGAAAGCTTGGGGCAGTTCCTGGCCCAGGTTGGGGGCTGGCAGGTGGTCACCTCCCAACTAGACAACTCTCTCAAGGGCTTGGCCGAGGAGCGCTACGATGTCCGAGCAGCCATGCAGCAGATGAACTTCACCCTGGGGCAAACCTCCGACTGGATCCAGGTCATCCAGAGGAAGACGGACGAGGAGACGCTGACGCTGCAGAAGATCGTCACCGAGTGGCAGAACTACACCCGCCTCTTCGGCGGGCTACGGGCCTCTTCCTCCAAGACCAGCGAGCTGGTGAAGAGCATCCAAGGCAGCGTCGGCGCAGCAGTTCGGCAGGTCGGCCAGAACTCGGAGAACATGCACGACCTGGTGCTGCAGGTGATGGGGCTGCAGCTGCAGCTGGACAACATCTCCTCCTTCCTGGACGACCATGAGGAGAACATGAACGACCTGCGGTACCACAACAGGTACACGCAGAACCGCACGGCCGAGCGCTTCGAGACCTTAGAAGGTCGCATGACCTCCCACGAGATCGAGATCAGCACCATCTTTGCCAACATCAACGCCACCGACAGCCACGTCCACAGCATGCTGCGCTACCTGGACGACGTGCGGCTCTCCTGCACCCTGGGCTTCCACACCCACGCCGAGGAGCTCTACTACCTGAACAAGTCCCTCAGCCTGGTCCAGGGCACCACGGACCTGCTGCGGGAGCGTTACAGCCTGCTCAGCGCCCGCCTGGACTTTGACATCCGTAACCTGTCCATGGTCATGGAGGAGATGAAGGTGGTGGACATCCGGCATGGGGAGATGCTGAAGAACATCACCATCTTACGAGGTGAGGTGCATCCCGGTGGGCACAGCCTAAGTTCTTCCCGCGGATGGGTTGGGACCGGGCGCCTTGAGCTGGCAATTTTGGGGGCTGTTTCTTCTGTGGCTGAGCATGGTGGGATCTGGACTCCTTGGGAGCGTCCCGCACCACAGAGGACCCAAACCACCATTGCCCAGGCCAAGGCGGTGTTGGGATGCTCATGAAGGCACCCAGATACTTGCCCATGGATGCAGATGTGTCCTGGGGATGGAGCTGCGGGCGCTCGCCTTGCAGAGCTGTCCCTGCGGGGAGGGACAGGGACAGAGGGGAGGTGACCCGTGTCCTTCCAGCACGGTTGGCTTGCATACTGGTGCCGGTGACCACTCTTGCTGGTCCTGGTGGAGATGGCATGGCTGTTCCTGGACGAGGGTGCCCAACTTGCCCATGGATGCAGATGTGTCCTGGGGATGGAGCTGCGGGCGCTCGCCTTGCAGAGCTGTCCCTGCGGGGAGGGACAGGGACAGAGGGGAGGTGACCCGTGTCCTTCCAGCACGGTTGGCTTGCATACTGGTGCCGGTGACCACTCTTGCTGGTCCTGGTGGAGATGGCATGGCTGTTCCTGGACGAGGGTGCCCAAAGCTTCTTCCTGGGGTGGCTCGGGTGGCCTGGGGACATCTCCATCCACCCAGGGGAGCAGCGGGGCTGTCCCGGCTCCACCACCGCGGCTCCCCGGAGCCCTCGGGCACCCCATGGGGCAGCTTCCCGCTCCACCACGGACCACCCAGCCCAGAGCCG